TCTTTCGGATACACAGCAGAGATAAACAAGAGAAAGCAAAAACGGTAAAGTAGAGATTGTGTAACAAAAGCAAACAGAGGGCAACGTGAATTTTGGCGTTGGGCGGCACCAGCCGGATTATGTAGCACTCTCGGCTTATTCAATTAAAAAGGAAATGTACTCGAGGGCGCATTCTGACTACTCGTAATTCTGATACGAAGATCCTGTTTGACAAATGAGATTCGTTTCAGCCGCGTCACTAGTCAGTTCCAATCTATACACAGAGTTAAACCATTTAGCTGTTAAAATCGGTCTCTGCCGAGCCGAAAAGGTTGAGTTTCAAATTATTTATTTCCATAACAAGTATATTTTCGAAAAATATATGACTATACAACCACAACAAAGACTGCCTCGTTGACCGAGTGGTCGCAAGTGCGACTGCCGGGCAAGGGGTCTCGGGTTCGATTCCCGGGTCGGGCAAAGTATTACTAGGTTTTAAAAATTCTCAGTAGTAGCACGGAGTCTGGAGTTGTGCCCGGTATATGGCAATAGGCTCACCCCCTATTACATGGGACTCATAACATAAATAGTGAAAAGTGGGTGTACAGTGGCATAATGTGCACCTCTGCCTACCCCTTCGGGGATAAAAGGCGTGATGTTATGTTATACAACCATGTATGTGTGATTGTGTATGTAGTCAATATTAGACTTGTACTAAGCTTTAAGCGTTAAGGTTATTAAATTGAAAAGCAAACATGCAAATAAGTAAACAAGCACAATGTCAAGCATTTTAGCAAACATTTGTAAACTAAGCAAGCAAAAAAAAACATGCAGACACCCCTATGAAATAGGCAATAAAGCAATTAATCAAAATTAGCAAGACAGGAAAACATGCAAGCTGGCAGTGTCTTTCAGATTAAGTAAACATGGTGAATGGTTAGTTTACACTGTAGTGAAGAACAGTTAAGGCTTATTCGCTATGCACCACTATCCCTTGTACAATCAACCCTCACATACCAAAAGCACAATACCATTTTAAATTCAGTGCAAGCTACAGTCGCTAATACAGCCGAGTGACAAACAGAAGTTTTATGCGCAGACTGAAAAAGATATTTTCTTTTTCGTAGCTAATGTGATAGAACACTAGTTGAATATAAAAGTCATTTATTAGGCATGCCTCGAGAAATTTCATGTAAAAATTCGGAGTAAAATGTATTTGCTTTGTTTTTACATGCGAACGCACGTCGCCTGTCGGCTGATTACGCTCCGCGCTGTTACCGTCATTCATTTGAGTCTGTACACCGCCCCACTCAATCTCGTTTATTATGAACGTGCAGCGGGCGAGCAACCCTGCCTCTCTCGCTTTTTACATTTGAATATTTTGCTTCATGCATTACTTTTACATTGTTAGGAAGACTCTTTCAGCGAGATGACAGTGCACACGAGTCGCAGCGTTCATTTACGCACGGAATGTTTTTAATTGACATTATTCCGTTTTATTTTTCAACACTCATTTACAGTTCGTGCTGTATAATCAAGTTGTTTGTAAAGGCTGCCTTGTACTGAATTAAGTTTAAATAAGGACTTTGCTAACACTGCAGTCACAACTACTACGACACAAAAGACTGTTTAAGTTTCTTGTGTTGCAATGTAGACGAATCGTGTTATGTTTACACAAATCAGTTTGATACATATTACCCTTACAATAGCTGGTGACTACAGGGGCCGACATCATTGTGATTGGATATATTAAATACTAAGGACGACTAATTAGGTGCGGTCTAAGATAAACGTCATCAAAACTAAACTATGAATTATCAATTCATATTTTAACCATTTATTTTCTCTACATTGCTTCTATTGCGATCTGAATATTGTCGGAGATGGTGCTAATTTGTCAAGCGGGGTTTGTTTTTCTGTCACTTAATATATCAGTCAAATCTCATCCCTAATAGCTCTTACATCCTATTTGACAAATGATTATCATCAATAGCGCCTAATGAAGACAAATAGAGCGCCATACAACGTTTCGACAAGTAATCACTACGTGTCATGTGGCATCGAAACCTTTTTAAGGGCTTTAGGGTACAATAACGTAGAAATTTTGAAATGTAAAGACAAATTCAAAAATTATTTCTTTATCCGAGCCATGGGAGCGGCACATTTCTCTCGAGCGTTCACAATGGCAGTAAAGTTGCATAAATAAATAACTCGAATTAGAACCCTTCACGTAGCGCGCAAACGTTGAATGCTCGCGACTCACGGTGAATAATTTCTTACCCGCTTTTGTGTTCAACGTCTTAGTAAAATACCTGACATTTAACTGACAATTGATGAATTTTATAGGGGAGTGTTTTTAGACGAAATATTCTGTAATTCCGCCTTCCTATGAACGCAGATTATTATGGAAGGGAATGGTAAACAACTGTTTTCCCAAGAAAAATATTTATTGACTTCCCACGCAAATTGTTAACCCGCCGTATAATAATAACCGTCCATTAAATTTTATGTTTCAATATGCTTTTTGATAGCAATACACAGGCAATCGGTTGAGAGTTTTTAAAACCAAGTTTCCTGTTAAAAATCACGTCTCATTACGGACATTACTGAGATTCACATAACATTTGAAACAGCTGATCCTTTGAAAACGAACAACAATAAAAAAAATAAAATGCAATCATTGTGATTTCAAAATTCCCCTTAAAACATTTGACAATAAGGCCCGGATGGCAACGGGGACTGGGGAGCCATGGGTTGTTGCTACAATTGATAGGAACGGCGAGTTTCGGGTTCCCCTCATTTTGGGCGATACACAGTACTCGGTACAATCATTACAAAAAGCGTCACATCGCAGTACGGTCCCCGGTTTAATAATTCCACTCATTTGGGCTCCCCCGGGCGACTCGGCGAGACAATGCGCGCCCGGCTAACGGTATCAATCAACATCAAACAACCCCGCTACTCTCTATCTATACACAGCTTTAGGGTTGTACGTTTTGTGCATATATTACTTTATTGAGATTATGCAAACGTAAAATCCCACGCAATGTTAAGTTTCTGGGGCTTTGAACTTGTATTTTAGTCCATTAAGAACAGATGAATGTATAATACAACATTGAACTATTAGCTCTATTTCTAGTTAATTTATATTTGACAGGTTTACTTTACAATTTAAGAGAACCACGTGGCGAGAATACACAGTAGGTAAATATTCTGTTATCTCGCATACAATGTTTTTTTAAACGGTGCAAAATAAACCCACTATACAGAGTACATACATTGTACAGATGTATCAACATTTCGCTTGAAAGCTGCTTTAATATAAAACAGGATTATGATTACATTTTCAGTATAAAACATGGCGGCCCTAATGCGCTTTGAAGTCTGTACTCTGTAGTAAACGATTCTTTTTATCACAGTCGTTATGCATGCACAAGCCGACGTCGATAAGCAAACGGCCGCGGGATGTGTGCTCATCTCAATCCTCGCAAACACATTAGTAGTAGGGCACATTTGCTCATGACGCATTCTCATCAAATAACCGAATCGTGCGTTTCAAAACAAACAGCACACCCACGCGAAACCATGCTCATAGACGTTAAAATAAAACTGAAATCAGATTGTAAACACAAAATTAATCATGCACGTTTGTCTATAAATAACAAACACTGACAAGAGAACGTTTATTTCCTCCGTATTCATTGTTATGTCAGGGGAAATTGCTTTCATTTTTCAGTTGGAAACAAAGTGTGTAAATAAAAATCTATTTGCGATTACGCGCTTATACAACGAACACTTGTAAGATTTTTTGTTCAGCAAACGAGCTTATTGTCGAGTGTCGTGCGAGGGAAGGCGCATAAACTCTGTATGGAGTGCTCGTCCACAAATAGAGGCCGAGTTGTCCGAACCTCACTCGTTTTCGTGGGCCACATGTGCTAATGAAGACACGACGTTTATGATTATGTTTATTCACGTCCGCTCATTTTCGATGTAGGATGACGCTATTCGTAACGAACAAACGCGCTCATCATTTCAATCAACAAATGAACAAATCGGCGACGTCAGTCGACTGATTACAAAATATCTATTGGTCTGTTTACTATACAACTTTATAATTACTTAATGTATGACTGACTTAGCGCAAACAGAAGTCTGGAATTAATTACAAGACTGAAACATATAACTGAAACATATAAAATAATGTGTTCGGTTCGGTGAGACATAAGGGAATACAAGGAGCTTCATTAGGCGCGGAAACCGACGTTGTATTTTGTTCTTTGCGTGACCAGCTGCCCACATTATTCAGTCATTAGTGAACGTCAGTACGACACACGAGTCCTACGTCAAACAGGATCTACGTCATTACAAGATACATATTATATTCCACGTAACAGTTTATTTGCCTGTTAACTCGTCGAGTACCGGTTTTATAGACACAATTAAAGAACAATAGGTCGCGGTCACCGGTGACCGCTTGGTATTTGACAGTTTAAGGGCCGATTTTTCAATCATCAGTTAATTCTTGACTGCAGAATAAAATTGACAGTTTGTTGTATGGAAGAATTGTCAAATATTCACTTATTCCTCTGATAAAATTTAATTGGCGTTGAAAAAATCGGCCCTCACCGCCATACGCAGTCATTTAATGGCTACTTAATCCAGTCCTTAGCAATTGTTTCCGGAACAAAACCGTTACTAAGGAATAGTTAAAGTAATCATTAAATGTCTCTGAGTATCGCAGTTAGTCATGTTTTTGGAAATCAATTTGGAGAGGTCTTCCATATTAACTAGTTCTTACGAGAAGTCAGTAATTTTTCATGGACAGGTTTAGTGTTTCTCTAGAGACTACTTAGTTGCGAGAATGGTTTATAGTTGATGGCTTTTTAATACCCTGCCTTCTTGATTCATCGAGCGGCGGACAACGTTGATTGATTGTGAGTAGCATTCGAGTAATGGACTAATATGAAGCTCGCAACAATGACTCCTTCTTGGTGTTAATCGGCTGTTTATTAATTACTTACAGAATCAGGATCATGTGCGTTTGGCGTGGACGGCTGTGCTGGCCTGGGCGGTGGCGGGTAGCCCTATAAACAAAATTTTGTTTATTACACAGTTACACTCAATTTATGCTTTCATAAAGATTTAGTTATGTTCTGATTCTGATTAAGCAATTCTATCATGTATTATTTCTACAGTTAGGAACAATGTGTATGTGACCAGAACGTTTGTGATTAACGTTTACAGCTGGATGGGTTTCGGGTTTAAAAGTCGTTGCGGAACTAAATCCAATTAGGACACGTGTCATTCATTGTAAACCTATTACATGATCTACTCCACCAGTATACCTAGTACCTACATATAATACTTTCAAAACAATAACACAAACAAAAACAAAAATTGTACAAAACACAAAATGTTTAACTCAAAGTCGTCGGCAATTCGAATTAAATCGCAATTTCAAACGGACTACAATGACAAAAAGTTCACAAGCTTAAGCTCAAAGTTTTGTGCGCCACTGTAAGCCGAAGGCCAGACTTTCGTACTGAAACTACGTCCGGACAACAGTACTAAAACACTTAATGTAAAAATGAAATCACGTAAAGCTGTACAAGAGACGTGGATGGACGTCCAACAAAAGGAATGTTTTGTTATACTGAAGCAGTTACAGTTATTTCAGAATTGGTTTTTTGTCACTGTGAAAATAAGAGTGCGTCACTACATTTCGTCACAACTTCAAAGACCAATTTATATCAATTCAAATACTAAACTAAATTCATTTTTCTAAAACTGGATCAAAGTTTGCCGTAAAATATTTGGTTTACTTTGAAAGGATCAGTGAAAGTTAAAAATAGTGCGGTCATAATTTTACATCAGAGTGTTATGAATCAAAATGGAATAATACAGCTTTGAAAATAAGGGAGGAACTTTTGCGAAAATACCAAATAAACATCTAATTCAACATTTTGCTCGCGAATATCAAAGTTGTAACGGAGTCCGCAATTTGGAACGTTCAAACTTTATCTCGCAAAACATACTAATTGTTTTACCTCGTTGACATGATAAATGGGAATTTTATGTAACGGGTGGCTGCAGTTACTTCACGTTAATCATTTTTAGGATGCGATAAATATAAATTATAAAGATGTATTTTGATCAAGGAAACAACAGACACAAATTATTGTAACGTTTAATATGCAAACTACTAGCAAGATTACAATGTAGTGTCTTTCATTATGACTAAATTAAAAAGAGAATGTAGAAATAAATCGGACCCTTTGACTAAAAAATACGTTTAAAAAGAGGATTAATCCGTTTAATATTTCCGGCATTAACTCGGAGAGTAGCTGTTCAAAATTAGTGAGGAAAGTGCACGCTGACTGTAATAGAGGTAAGTCTGTTCCAAACTTATAATGAATTGCAAACAAGTTTGTGAAACGGCCACGACATGATCTCTTCATCAGACAGAACACGTTCGAAATAACATTGATTATGGTACAAATGTTATAATCTTTGTATATTTATAGCTTTACAAAAACATCATCTACCCATGTCTCGGATATGTAGATAGCGTAAAAATATTTTTTGTTCAAAGAGCATTTTCTCACATGACACCTCGTGGCACCCACTCGAGTGTAAAGTCGTCTGTGACTAGTGACTACCCTACCAACGAGTACATACTCTCAATAAATCGGGACATCTCTAGGTGCAGCCTTCATTCTTCAGCCAGGGCTGCCCCTGCAGCCACCTCCAATAAAACTTTATCATAATAATGGAACAGTAAGTAGACGAGTCACACAATAGACAAGACAAATGTCAGTTTCTCTTCTCTTTACAATTGAATTGCATTATTTTGCGGAGATTGCAAAAGGGGGGAGCGAGCGGCATAATTTATCCAAGTCGGCAATTCCCGACAGCCCTGCCACCGTGACTCCGCCACAGGAGAGAGAATGTACGCCCCACCGTCAGCGCTTTAGAGGTTTCCAACGGCGAGCGAGGCTGCCACACTAAAGTTCGGAGAATCCGGAGCATTTTGCAGTTTGTTATTATGAGAGCGGAGTGCTGCCAGCGATAAGTTGCTCTTTATGTACGGGGAAAAACAAGGACACAGCGTAAACTCGCTTCTTAGTTAATGTTGGAGTTGCGAGTTACCAATAAGTTACCTAATACGAAACATGGACTTTACGAGGTATATTGAAAGAAAATAAATAGTAATATTTTTCATTCTAATGACATAGTACGACAGTTAAAACTAAATAGAAAATATTTAGATATAAAGCATTCATATTCCTTATAAACTCCAACATGCATAAGCTTAATGACAAAGAGATTCGAGAAGAAAATCTCCCGAGGCGCACTTCAGAAAAATCAAGCAATTAATCGCACGGCCTTTGACAAATATATTTCCTTGACAATAAAATATACTGAGTTTTTACTGGCGAAGGCGAACGGCCGGGCTAGAGAACGGGTAGAACTGTCTCGTTCAACCGGCGCGCCTACTGTGGGGGAATATTAAACGGACCGTACCCCGCCAGCCATGCCATTATTATTATCTTGCCATTCTGTCCCAGTTCCGGGATCCAATATCCAGTATGCTACGCTATCAACCGATGTGATTGCAAAGCAAATGTTGTGTACCATTACTATTCGACTATCGAAAGGTCAACGTTAACGATATTGGCCCCTGTGAAGAGGATGAGGTGAATAAAGGGAGGTGTGTATAATGTATATTGCAAGGTGTATATTTGTACAGCTCTGGCGTATTTAATGTTGCTTTAATACGAAAGTCCAGTAAAATATAATTAGTGATTCCTCATTACCGCGCGGCTGGCGTGGCCCCTCTGGACGTTCGTGCGTCTGCTGGCTTATGGTTATTAATAACGCTGGCCGCCCGCCCCGCCCCGCACTGCGGCCCCCTCTGGCCCCCACGCTCGCCCGCGCCGCACGTCTGACATTTTAATTCCGGAGCCGCGACTATGGACTCAGTCCGCTGCATCATTTTTATCGACAATTTTGTCGACATCCGAAAGGTACTTCTCTATTCAAAATGTATGACTTTAAAATGAATGTTCTAGTGTATAAAATGAAAATTGCGAGAATGATTACGATTATGATTAAAATTAACATAATAGGCATATTTTAGGCATATTAAGTTTATAAACGATGCTTGGCATAAACAAGATGTGTTCTTTAAATATGTAGTAGGTAACATTTAAAAGAAAATATCAATACGTCGATATCGACAAAATGATCTAGTCTATGTAAATCATAATCCTTACATTGTCATTAATGGAACATTCGAATTTAGATTACAGCAACAGTTAAGTTGCGATCGTCCGCTAGTAATATTCCACCTAGTCGGAGGCACGCGTACAATAATATCGAGTGAGTCAGTGAACATCACTAGCCACGAATGCTACAATGGCGGTCGGGCGAGCGCAGGTCGAGCGCAACATGGCTGCCTGGTAGGCGGTTCGAGTGAAAGGGACGGAGCAAGCATCGACTAGTGCTCTCTCTATCGCACTCGCACGCAATGCTCTCATCGATCTCGACTCTCTGTGCTCGCCCCCAGCACCAGAAAGGCGGAACTAACAAAATTACAAAGCGCTTTCGAGCCGCTAATCATAAAATAAGATACGACGTTTCATTTCGACCGTACGACTCTCGAGCGATCACGATGCTGAAATGGCCCTTGACTCTCAAATTTCTCTACTGACATCGTAGAGTATTACCGAGCGTAGCTCGCCGAGAATTTGGTTAAGCCTCCGCATTGAATAGATTTATGTTGTTTGTCAGAACAGAACAATAATAGAAACAAACCAGAACTTAGTGTTTTCAATAATGCTTCAGTTTGTATGGAGAATGATAAAGACTTGGAATTTACTTTTATCATTTGTAGCTTTTGTTATTCGGTTCGAAAAAAACGGTATCTTTTGGAACAAGACAAGAGTTGTATGCGAGAGTAAGGTATAAAATGTAAAAGCTCTACATACATCTCTTCTCAGCCGGCGTCGATGCCGGCCGGGTTTATGTTAGCATAAATTGTAGCCGTAGCCTGGCGGCGTTTAGTTCCAGAGCTGTATAAAATCGACACAAGCCGCGCGCTCCCGCTGCCTCGGGAGTTTCTGCTCCGTCGATTACATGATATCTTGAGTGACGTTTAATTTTTGCACCACTCTCTCATTCTCCGAGATAAGGTTACGGATTTGAATGAGTCACATTCTAAACTGTATATTCATTTGTTTTATTCATGAAAGTAGAGTCCAAATAGACAAGACTAAATAAATAACAGAATTTCGTTGTATGAAATTGACTCTTCTGACTACTGAAGTGACACATCATATTATTCTGCTCCTTTATAATAACAATATTTTATAAGTTGCTAAGCAAAGACACGATTCGTTTTAAAAAATGCTAAACTTTTTATGGGCAATAAAAATAGTAAAGTAATGAGTAAGCACGAGGAATGCAAAACGAAATGTTTCATAGAGAAACTTGCGACTTGTTTAGAGCGTTTCGTTCGCATGCAAAGCTGCCAACATGTGCTACATCTCCATTATAACGTGAAGCCGTCGCTAGGCCGGCCACGTGCGAACCATACGCCGGCCGGAGCAGCGAGTAAGGGACATAGAAATATGTAAATCGCACGTCGAGCCAAAAACGTTGGCTCACGCTCACGATGAATGCTGATCGCCGCACTATGACGAACCGATCATCCGTGACATCGATCTAAAGTCACGGAAGACCTGATACCTATTATTTATTGCACCGCATAATATACAGTACAGGTTTGCAATTTTTCATCAATAAAATATTTGCTTTTTTCTTTCAAAAGACCATTGTTCGTAGAATAAGGAAATTTTCTCATTAATAGAAATACATATCTGATAGAGGCGAAATCCGATCCCTCCATAAACTAAACGAAACAAAACACTCTGGATATATAGCAGAGAATTCAACTAATGTCTTTAGAATTCGGCATAAAGTTGATAACTTTTCAAGCATATGATCCAAGCGAGAAGTGTTCGTGGAAACACCAACTACTTTCTTGGAAAATGGTTAGATATTTATTTGTTTGCTGTAAACGTGCAATTCCCTTATCGAAGTTATCGACTAGAGTAAGTCGTACAAGTTCTAGTTGAGAAGCTCTTGGGACAAGTTTTTAGGCCGGGGTCAAACGTCCACGAGGGCGAGGTAAAACTTAATGTCTAAACATAAAGTAATCCCAAACACTCAACAAGCCCCTTCAATAAGGGCTACAAATATTTTGATATAATCAAGATAAATAAAGGCGAGGTAGGCGAAGATATTACTTGAGGAACACAGATACTATTGTTAATGTTGGCAAGAAAAACAAACCTATATTCCACAACGACGGTTATAATGCGTAAAAAAGAGTGGAAATAATAGCGAAACAGGAAAACAAACATAACGAAAGTAAAAGTCTTCCATTAGGTGGGGTATGGTATGACCATAGACGGTTTATTGAAATAGTTATCGTTGAGGATGGTAATTTTTAAAAATTGCTAACAACGAAGGTTTTCGTACATTCGCCAGCAGTTTAATGTGTAACGATAACAGTAAAGTTTATAGCCAAAGTTCCATCTACCGAGTTCCCTGGATTACTATACTTTCCATATAGAGTGGGTTCAATTTCGTTAAAGCTATACAGATTCGCATCTACGTGCGTGCTGACACAAGACCATAGAGAGTATACAGATAAAAATGTAAGAAGTCATTACAAACAAAATATAAATATCTGTTTTTATTAACAACACAGCACACAATAGTATAATTTACTATGAATTCTCAAATGTACACATGTAATTCTTATGTTGTACAAGTATCCATTGATACATTCTTAATTGATTTTCATTAGCGATAAATACACCGTTTTATAACTAAGAAAAGTAGGATATTTAATGATGAATAACATTAAAGATTGGCCTTATTAAACCTTACTTACGTTAAAATCACTTAGTGTAGGCAATATGAATAAATAAGTAACGAGATAAGTTATTTGAGTTTATTTTCGATTGGCAACAAACCATTTATCATGATTTTGGGTAGTTATCTCGCGAGGCGTACGTTATTTAGTCTAGCAGTGTAGTTTTGGCCAAAATTATCGAAAATTTCCGTCGACGACGAGGTACGTCGTACGTCCGTGATATCTGTGCGATAAACGAAACGCAAACATGACGCCCGCCGGCTCCTCGCACCAACACGGTTTACTTATTAAAGTTTCTGCTAAAGATACGTGCAAATGGAAATGGTTTTAGTAAGTGGTAAACGGAAAACGTACTCGTTCGATTTTAATTTGAATGGTAAATACTGCTAGTTATTCTATGAGGATATTTTTTTTCGACAGTGATCTTCTTCCGGCTGAAGATGATAATTATGAATCCACGAGGAAAAGCATCTTTCACTCTTATAATACGAAAATGACAATAAACATATTAAATCACGAACCTTAATTTCATTACATTTCAAAAGAAAAGAAGTACTTATTAACTAAAATGTCTGAATAAACTATTTGAATGGCGGATAAAAAGGTTACCCTATTCGGGGTTTACAGTGGCGTATTGACTGAATTTGCAATTCAGAGCCGGCAGAACGGCGTACGTTAACTGCTAGTGAGCCAACTACTAGTTGGAATTACCTATGCTGTTCAACGTTAGCTACTCCATCTGAACGGGCGCAAATGGAATGCAATGAACTTTCACGTGGTGTTCGGAACGCTAACTAAAGGTGAGTTATTTTAATCACTTGAATTAGCTTAATGAACGTACAGTGTGCTATAAAAATAACGTTTGTTTTAGTTTAATTAGTTGTACCGTTTGATTTAATCTGGATTAAAAGGATTATTCTGTCTGCTAAAATACGTGGCTATTGAACAAAGAATAATAGGTAGGAACGTTTCATTAATTAATACCGTAATTTCTGTGTTATTTGACCTAAATCTTGTTGTACTTTAATATAAGATTACTTCTTCTTATTACATATCCACGTGGGACCCACGGGTTAACGTAAAACAGGTCTAATATTATGAAATCATAATATGCAAACATAACAGCTATTTTGTTAGTCTTAGACAACAAATAACAGCAAATAATAAAACCAATCAAATGAATATACAAGTCACGACATGGTTCAAAGGAGGTTCAAATCGAAAGAATTCGATTCATTGTCTTGGAACCTATTGATATTTTTTTATCGGTAATAACATTAAATATCAGTGCTTAAAGAAGAGATATAAAAAAGACGATTATAAACAAACATGTTTCAGTTGGACTCATTCATAATAATATGAATAGTAAAAGTTAACTGTCTCACAGTTACACAATAAGTCAATGTTAACGCTTGTTACCCAAAAAGTTTTGAGTAAGCTGTAAATCATGCATAACAAACTAGTTGAAAACTTCGTTTCAAGGCAAATGGGAAGTTTTCCGTCTTTAACTTCGTAAGTTTAATCTCAAAACTTATTTGTTTAAGGAGTCTCAAACGCATTTTCTTGTTGATCAGTCTACTCTTACTTTCATGTGTTGCGATAACATTGCAAATATTGTATCTAATTACCAGAAGACCATGAATGGGTTCATCAATTGCCCGATAGGACAGAAAAAGAATAAAGCATAATGGCGAACACGAAGGTTGGGACCGACGAAGAATAAGAAGCAAATAGGTTTGGTAATGTAGAAAAGGGATTAGAAAGACTTACTCTTTGAGTAGAAAGAAGCAAAGAAGAACATAAAGAAATTAAAAGATAGCCCTGAACAGATAACAAAACAGCTAATCTGAAGACTGTTCTAATATTCTGTACAGACCTTAAGCACTCCTTGATTTCAAGAGAAACATTTTAACCATAAAGCAGAGGTTTCGAAAAAACCTTGTTAAAAGGCTAATATACCAAAGAAACATAAGGAAATGTTAGATTGTAAGTGTACATTATAATCTCAACTTTAAACCTGTTTTAACTAATAAGATAAGCAGTCTGTGACGTGGTTATTTTACAACACTTTATATTTCCGCACTCCGCTATGTGATTACCGGATATAAAAGACGACTTCGCCTCCGACAAAACCAGTTTTGCTGTCAGCGGAGAGGACAAACATGGCCAAAGTAATGTTTCCGAAATAAGATTTCGGAATAATTAACCATATCTGATGCTTGATATAGTAGGAGATATAAGGTTTATGACAAGTGCTAGTAAAAAGATTTACATTTGTAGTAGATGAATTAGATAAGAGTATTTCAATTACGTCTGGAAGGCTACCATTAAATCACGGCAGTACATCAGAAACAAAAAGGCTATTCTACTCCAAAACAGGGTTAATATTATAAACCTCTGTTTACAGAAGCAGATTGTTTCAAACTTCAAGGATAATCTGTCCCCAAAAATATACAAAGTATTGTTTTTTTGTGTCTATTATGCAATACGCTCAAATCTCTGGGGTGACTCGGTTTCAATAGGAGATATCACCTGTCAGCTGGGTTCCGGTTTAGGGCTACCCCAAGGTCGTAAAACACAACAAAAGGATTATTTACACAATCATAGCAGGTGGACTGGACGGCGCCGGCCTTATCTACCTGTCAATAAATTACACTACTACGTCAAAAACCGTATGTCCATTATTGTGATTGCGGCACTCTTTTTTTTCTTTTGTTACGACACCGTCGTCGTTTATGAAGAGACTTTCGATTTATGTTCAGTTACTTTACAAAGGAACCATCACCTAACTTGGCAAGATCTACATGCAGTGTTTATTTTTCTTAGTTTCGATCCTATCGTTACTTATATCCTGAATTTCGGAGAGGGTAATTTATTATTTTAACTCGTCGAGTACCGGTTTTATAGACACAATTAAAGAACAATAGGTCGCGGTCACCGGTGACCGCTTGGTGTTTGACAGTTTAAGTGGTGTAAATCTATAAACTATCATAACAAATAGAGATTCGATCTCGATACATACATACATACATAACATCACGCCTTTTATCCTCGAAGGGTTAGGCAGAGGTGCACATTATACCACTGTACAATGTAACACCCACTTTTCACTATTTATGTTATGAGTCCCATGTAATAGGGGGTGAGCCTATTGCCATATACCGGGCACAGTTCCAGACTCCGTGCTACTACTGAGATTTTTTTTGAAAACCCAGTAATACTTTGCCCGACCCGGGAATCGAACCCGAGACCCACTAACCGGCAGTCGCAATTGCGACCACTCGGCCAACGAGGCAGTCGATCGATCTTGATAAAATCCTAAATTTAACGTTACTTACAACAGGTCACTGTCACTAAATGTAACACTAACTAACAGTTGGAATATTGTTTACTTGATATTTATAGAGATAGTTTACCTGGTGTGGTGGTGGTTGAGCCCCATGCGGCGGCATATGGGGTGGGTGCTGCGTATCCTGGGTTGGCGACATGGCGCCGGGCGCACTTTGCCCTGCGCCTGGACTCGGCGCGCCCGGTGGCTGCGTTGGTGGCTGAGGGGAACCGCCTCGCTCATAGCCCTGCAAAAAAAATACTTTTAACATCGGACAAAATCCATCATAAACACTCAAAATCTCTATAAAATCATTTGATCTTTCAGTAAAATGCTAATACTATATTGGTGTGAATTAGCAAAATAATAGTATGATGAAATATTTCATCATTCTGTTTTCATTTTAACCGAAGCATCAAAAACATGTTATCTAAAGACTAATTTTATAATAAAGATGTTTCCAACTGGAAGAGTAATAAGGAAATTGCTAGAAGTTATCAAGTGGCCGACAATAGAGCCCAAGTTCAAAAGGGTCATAGCTTCTACATTGAACAAGCGTTCAGTATAAGAGATTGGGAGAACCGGAAAATTCATGAAGTGTTCCGGCTGGTATAATGATGACTTTGACCCCTTTACTTCCGTACAAGATCGTAAAACATTGAGAGTTTATCGCCCCTCGTGTGCGTGGTGTAAATTCGCCTGAAGAAGATGAATGGATCTTGCAGATTCTTAACATGGACAACTGTTATGTTTTTCAAGATGTTTTGTATTGTTCCTATGTTTTCCTATTGGGAAGAATTTCTAAATTCCCTGAATATGTCTTATCAGCCTAGAGGCTGTATGATATGGTGGTAAAGACAAACATATTTGTTTATTATTGGCGTGAATACGTAGATAATTTATGTAATACATGAAGTACTACTTCCCAAATCCTTAGAACACTTCCTAGAAATATTCATAACCATTTATGGAAATACTAGGTCCTTGCGGTCCTCATGGACCGCAGCCTTGTGCCTACATAACAGAACATGACACTTGTGTCTTACAAATACTCCGACAGACGACAGAAGCCATCAAGAAAAGCGAAAATCTAAAGTGGCAGAAAGATTAAATCCGCCAGCATTTGTCACCGCATAAAACTTTCATTGCTTGGGGTTCGTGTAAAATGTAACCGGTGTTGTAATAATGAATCGAGCCGCAATTGAAATGGGAACACTCAATTAATCACAGCCGACAAAGCTCTCGTGTCCTTGGCCGTGACTCAGAATCGCGAGCACGCTCACTCTAATTACCAACCTTTTTGTTATACACTTATTCGGGTTCTTCGAGACATTCAAGCTTTAAGGTATTATGCTAATGGTATTGTTGTCCGTCTGGCAAAGAAAAGTTTTACTCGAATCCTTCGTAACGATCATGGAACATTCGCTTTCTTATTTATAGATGAATTTTCTTTAAATATCTTTAACGTCACGCATTCGTCAAAATACATATAATGTATTTTCAGGGGAAAGTAATGATAATAATTTTTAATTGATTATTTCATTGACTTAATTCAAATCTCAATACTGATACTACTCTGTAAAGTAAAGCAAATTGTTGTCACAGAAAGGGTTTCGGTGTGCTTCATAAACAACAAGTTCACCACGATAATATAACTATTAATGATGCTCACACACACACATACACATGCACATTAAATACATAGTTGGTATAAAGCAACGGGCACGTGCAAGAGCAGGGTCGGCGACCACGAACGGCCTTGACCGTGCATCCATTATGCACACCCGTTTACTTGCAAACGAGTGCACCGCAACGCATCTACGCCTACTAGTGCCTATGTAAATATGTCTGTATGTATAATAAACCAGCACGAAAGAGCTCCACTATCGAATGACGTAACATGATTGGTCGTTCCGACGGTATTGTTGGGTGTTTCTAGTTGTGCCCCGGGTTTTGATGAAATGCACACGTTGTTCAATTAATTGAACGTTTCGCAGGGAAACATGCAATGCAATAACGTCGTAAAAACATCGTTCAGGTTTTATTGGACAAGTAATTCGTTAGATTGCGACTAACATCCAATTTATTCTCAATTACATGACTTGCTTGGCTTTTTTGGCCAACAATCATGACTTATCTTTTTGGTCCTTATTGGCGTCCGGTATTCTATACCTATATTATACCCACCTTCTGGAATTCCAATACAAATGAGATAAAAGTAATAGAATAACCCAATCCCATTCCGAGTTAACAGTACATCGCCCCGTCCGCCCTCGACATAGATCTTGCTGACAATGCAGACATTTATTGCATCAGTCAGTCGCACAATGCTTTCACTCGGCAGCCAGTTTCCGCGTCACGTTTCAAGGCTGCAGATAAGGTTGGCCTGATATTTACTAATCCAGGTCAAGAGGAGTCATTCACTTTTTATGTTTCCCCCTACCGGCTGGCGATAATTGAATAATAATCGTGACGTCAACAGTTCATGGCCTCCTGTTACGTGTTATTGTTCTTGATAACGAAACAATATGTTTGTAATTATAGCGCGTGTGACATTGTAATTGTAGTGCCAAACAAGTTTCAGAATCGATTAGTTTGTATTATGGGAATTATTTTAAGCCTAGTAACTAGGTTCTGTTGCCACTGTAAAGGTTCGCGTGGGTTGCATTTATTGTAGTCAGTCTATTTTAGGTACGCATACGCATGAAGTTTGATTCAAAATAGCCATGTTATAATCAGCTTAACGTGGCTCTGGCATAATGGGCTCCGACTAAAGGACCGCCTCGCTACTGTGTAATTGGATATGCTGCGTTCATTTACCGGCAAATCCGAAACCTATTCAATACCTGGCAATACGCTACGAGCCATTGTCATTCCCATTAGCGTCACCCTGACTATAGATATACTATACGTAGTCAGTTTGTGAAACACGTAATAACATTGGACGGACACCCTAATGATACTGGACAGTGAGACGAACACTAAGCAATCAGTATAAATCAAAGCAGATTTATTTATTTATTTATTTACACATAACATACAAATATCCTTACAGGCTAGGCCCAATGCGATATTGCAGCAAATATTAAAATAACAATAATAAACGAAATATACAAACACGAAATATCCATATACTCTTTAAAATATATAATAAGCTTTTACTACATATAGCAAATCCTATGCATGGCTGCTCGTGTAAATTCTCCTAAAGAGCAACAGAATATGTCTACGTCATTAGCAACGAGGTTCAGAGTGCGAAGCGCACACGTGAGCGGTGCCTCCCGCAGCAAGTTAGTTCGCGAACGTGGTTCTGCCAGTAACCGCGGCTGGCGACGACGACTCACGTATCCATCGGGCACGACCAGTTCAACCATTCGCAATATATCCGGATTGTGTATCTTCCCCCTAATTATCTTAAAGATATAAGTCACCAATGCGAGTTGCCTCCTGACCTGTAGTTCATTATATCCAACCATACCCAAGACAAACAGAGTTGGATACATTAATGGGTAGAATGGATATACCCCGAACTCCCTCATATACTTATATCTCATGAATTTATTCTGTACTCGTTCAAGCATGAGACTGTACTTAGTTTCGTGTGGAGCCCAGATCACTGCATTGCATTCAAGCTGGCTTCTTACTAAGGCATTATATAGTGTCGTTATAGCTCTCATATTTGTGAAGCCTCTAACCATTCTAAGTACAAACCCTAGATTTCGATATGCTTTCTTGCAAACCTCGACTATATGATTACGAAACGTGAGCCCAGAGGTAAAACGAACTCCTAAGTCTTTAATCTCCATGACCCTATTCAGCGGTACCCCATCCACCGTATAAGTATGTGTGACGGGTGAGTGTGCGCGTGAGAAACTTATGGTCGCACACTTAGACGTGTTAAAATGCAGGAGATTACATTGACTCCAAGCAACTACTCGGTCTATATCGCTTTGCAGCTTTTCACAGTCATTTACGTTTGTGATGGGGAGGTAAAGCTTAAGGTCGTCAGCAAACAGTAAGCACTTAGCATCCTGAACAACGTTCGGCAAGTCATTAACCATTAGTAAAAACTCTAGGGGCCCTAGATTTGTTCCTTGACTTACTCCCGACCTAGTGTAGTAAGTGTTCGATTGATGCCCTGCGTAGTCAACATACTGCTGCCTGCCACTCATATAACTCGCAATAAACTTAAGCAAGTGTGGAGTGAAACCGACCGCAGCTAATTTTTTAAGTAAGACGTCGTTATCAACCAAATCGAACGCTTTTTTAAAATCAAAATATGCAGCATCGATTTGCCCCCCACTGTCCACTGTTGGTACCACATCTGCCATGTAACAAAGTAGGTTGCTGGTGGTATTTCTAGTTGGTCGAAAACCATGCTGCGCATCTGTGAGTTGCACGCTAATTTGCCGATAAACATTCGCATAAATACTTGACTCCAACACTTTAGCCATAGTTGACAATATTGCAACCGGTCTGTATTCTTCAACTTTAGTTCCCGAACCTCCCTTCGGCACCGGTATGACTCGGGTAATCTTCCACATCTCTGGAAACTCTGATGTTTTGAGGCAAAGATTGTAGATATACAGCAGCGGTCTCGCTAATGCCATACGACAGTCTCTGAAAATGAACGGCGGAATACCATCAGGCCCTGACGATCTTTTCGGCTTAAGTTGGTGAAGAGCGCGAACCACTTCATCTAACCTCAACCTCAACCTTTATTTAAAAACGTATTCAAAATATTCATTGGCCGAGTGGTCGCAAGCGCGACTGCCGGGCAAGGGGTCTCGGGTTCGATTCCCGGGTCGGGCAAAGTATTACTGGGTTTTTTAAAAATCTCAGTAGTAGCACGGAGTCTGAAAAAATGTGCCCGGTATATGGCAATAGGCTCACCCCCTATTACATGGGACTCATAACATAAATAGTGAAAAGTGGGTGTTACATTGTACAGTGGTATAATGTGCGCCTCTGCCTACCCCTTCGAGGATAAAAGGCGTGATGTTATATATATATGTATTCAAAATAAACGGCTTCGTTGTCAATTCGAACGATTCGTCACTCATAGTAAGTTTCGAAGGCGGCGAGGGTGGGTCGGGTGGTAGGTTGTCTGCGTCCAAAACAAAATACGAAGAATTGTTAGAACTTTCACTGAATAATAATTTCGCGGTAAAAGTTTGCCGAACAGAACATAGCAGGAAATCGGGACTAATGCTTAGCAACTGAGTTTGGCTGAGTTTCAGTCGAACA